ACACATAGATTTAATAGATTTCATAGACATTAGGGCTGGAAGGGACCTTGTGAGATCATTGGGTCCAGCCCCCTGCCCAAGGGGCAGGAAGTCAGCTGGGGTCAGATCATCCCAACAAGATAAGCATCCAAGTGTTTCTTAAGGTATCCAGAATAGGTGCTTGCACCACTTCTGGGAAGAATCTATTCCAGACTCTGGAGACTCAGATGGTAAAGAAGTTTTTCCTTATGTCCAGTGTTAAATGGTCTTCCAGCAGTTTGTGACCATTCAACCTTGTTTTCCCTCAGAATGCCCTGGTCAACAGATGTTCCCCCAGTTCCTGATGCACATCTCTTATATACTTATAGGCTGCCACCAAGTCACCCGTGAGCCTTCACTTCTCCAGGCTGAAGAGTCCCATGCCTCCCAGCCTCTCCTCATAAGGCCTGTTCCCTTGACCTCTAATCATGTGCATGGCTCTCCTCTGGACTCTCTCAAGCTTCTCCAACTCCTTTCTAAAGTGTTGGGCACAGAATTGGATGCAGTACTCCAGCTGTGGCTTCACAAATGCTAAGTAAAGTGGGAGGATGACTTCTTGGGTCTTGCTTGAGATGCATCAGTAGATGCAAGCCAGTTTTATTTGCTTTGCCGGTTGCAGCATCACATTGGTAGCTCATGTTCATCTTATGGTCAATCATGACCCCCAAGTCTCTTTTGGTTGCAGTGCTAGTGAGTGTAGCACTGTTGAGCCTATAAATATGATGTGGGTTTTTTCTTCTGAGGTGCAGCACCTTGCATTTCTCTATGTTGAATGTCATCATGTTTTGATCTGCCCACCTTGTGAGCCTGTCCAGGTTGGCCTGAATTGCCAGCCTATCCTCTAGAGTGACCGTACTTCCCCATAATTTGGTGTTGTCTGAGAACTTAGCCAGTTTGCTTCTGATACCCAAATCCAGATAATTTATTAATATATTAAAAAGTATTGATCCAAGTACTGAGCACTAGGGGATGCCACTGGTGACCATGCACCATGTTGACTCGGTTCCATTGACTATCACTCTCTGGGTCTGACCATGGAGCCAGTTCCCTAGCCATCAGACTGTAAGGTTGTCGATGCTGCAGTTCCCCAATTTTACTATGAGGACATCATGGGAGACCAAGTCAAAGGCTTTTTCGAAATCTCAATATATGACATCAACCTCTTTTCCTTTGTCCAGGTGATGCATTACCTGGTCAGAAGGAAATGAGGTTGGTCAGGCAAGACCTACCCACAACAAAGCCATGTTTGCTATCTCTCAGAATGCTGCCTTCTGTTAGCCTGTTGTTGATGGTTTCTTTGATCATTTTTTCTAAGATCTTTCCAGGGACTGAGGTCAAACTGATTGGCCTATAGTTCCCTGGATCTTCCTTCCTTCCTTTCCTGAAGAGAGGCACCACATTGGTCCTCTTCCAATCTTCAGGAACCTCTCTCAAGCACCACAAGTTCTGAAATATCCTCGCCACTGGTCATGTTATGATGTCAGCCAACTCTTTTAGCACTCTTGGGTGCATTCTGTCTGGGCCAGCTGAGTTGTGGATGTCTAGCCCCTCAAGCTATTCTCTCACAAGATCTTCGCCAATTATAGGCATATGATCACCCTTACCTTGGTAGTCCTGCATCCTGTCAGGCAGGGTGATCCCCTTCACAAAACAACTTACCTTATAAAAGACACAAAGCAACTTACCTTATAAAAGCCAAGAACAGAAAACCAGGAGCATGAAGAATATATGTGCTGTAAGTAAGCATATGAGCAAGCGAGATGAATGTCACTGCAAGGTCTGTAAATGGACCTAGTTCATTTCCCATTTTTTTCCAGTGTTTATTTTTCAAAACCAAATTTTGAAGACTTGATTATTAGTTCCTTGTTAATGAAAAAAACAAAGTAAAGACACTTACTGTATGAACAATCACTGGGCAGGGACTTTGCCTATTTAGATTTTTGTAAAGCATTTTATATTATTAATTATAATTATAATATAAATGTGTAGGTGTGCAGCATACACAGTGTTCTGAGAACAGCACCCTAAAATTAATCTGGCATTTGTATGAGTGCATATCTTCAAGTATATGCTTACATACTATATATAGCAACTATTCTATAGTAAGAGTCATAAACTATAAGACCAGAAGGGGTCATTGTGAACACCTAAGTCTGAGCCATCTCTAGAAAATAGTCCATAGGCATTCTCTGAGTTAAAACTTCTTTGTACTAGATTGTATCTTTTACAAGCACTCTGATATGGACAACCCCTATATATTCCGATTTATGTGAGGCAAATGGCATTTGGTAACTATTCTTAAAATTCATCCATTGGAAGGATTAGTTTAAAAATTTAGGGGAGCACGGTGGCATGGGAACAGGTCCAGATTTCTTTGTCAGATCAAAAAATGGGATTACCTGCTGTATTTCCTGGAGCAACCAAATTAGTCACAACTTGATTGTTTTATTATTTACTGACATTCAAGACGTATGGAACATGTAGGGCTTACCCAAGACATTGAAAGAAATGGTCAAATAAACCAATCTGTGGGCTAAGTAATATAGATTTTCTTTAAAAAATTAATTCAGGAGGCAGCAGCTTATACTATTATTAAAGTATTTAGCTGTGGGTTGCTTTGTACAACAGACAATTATAGCTAATTCAAGGCAAGTGAGAGAACTCAGGCTATGGACAGCAGGAAGAAAATTAACACGGGTGATAATAACATATACAGTTGAGTTTAAAGGCCCAGTTTTGCCCTTTTTTTCATGCTAAAAGTCCAATTCTACCCTCTCTACAGAGTAGAACAGTCAACAAAAGTGCTCCATCCTCATATGCATTTTGTGGCCAGCAGCCAATATTTTTCACTTAATTTGAGGTTTTCCTGGCAAATTGTCTTAAAGAAAGCAGTGTGACAAAGGAAATCAAGCAGTTGTTTTTTACAGTTTGAAAATTCTTTCACTGCTCTGTGCTGTGTCCTATTTACAAAATGCCTCATTTGGGAGACTTCAGATGGAGATTTATTTGAAAGACCTTAGTATGGTCTAGTGCAGT